GGATGTAATCTCCATTGGGCCTTGGTCATTTAATCAATTAATGAATTTGCTTTCCCATTTGACAAAAAAAAAAAAAAGGTTATGTTCATTAACAAGAATATACGTAGAATAAATATAATGAATATGATGTGTAATATATCTATATACACGCACGTTTAGATGTAGGAATAATCCATGTTTTGAAGTAACTACTAAATTGGGGATGAGGGATAACAAACAAAATATAGAGAATATTTGTATGCACAAGGGGGAGGATGAAATATCTTAAAAATTGATTGGAGAAGACTTAAATAACGTACGTGGTTACAATTTAGAAGGCTTTTCCTTTTATTTTTCTTTTTCTCTTGGAAATTAAAATAAAATTTTTAACCAAAGTAACCAATTAACATGAAAGAAAATACTCAAGTTTAAATGATATGTGTAATTTGCTCGTAATTATATATATTCGAGGTTTATCTTGCTGTTATAAGTTCAAAGAGTCGGTGATCGGAAGAGTTCCCATTTTTTTTTTAAAAAAAAAAAAAAACACTTTAAATGATTGCTGGCAATTTATACATATACAAAATTACCTTACTGTTAAAAAAAATAATTAAAAAAAAATGAATATTCATGCCAAACTCAAATTGAGTACAATTTTCTAAAGCTGAAGTTGGTAGCTCTATTACAATTTAGCCTAACCTGACAAAGACCCGGAACAGTCCACAAAACCGGCTCTCTGGACTTGGACTTTAGGTGTCCACTATTTTGGTATCTAACAACTTGCAAATTTCAAATTGAACACCACAAATAATCTAAAAGTCTAACCCAATGGGGATGAATTGAAAAGGATTTGTAAACCCAAAAATGTTTCATCTTTATGCTTTTATTTTGCCACTTCTTAACAGGAAAGAGAAGAAAAGAAAAGAAAAAGCCTTCTAAATTGTAGTTTTGCCTATCCAACAGTAAAATACGGTATGAAAAAATATGGATACGAAAATGTACGAGTATAATTCGATATTTTTTTTCAAATACGTTTAAAAAAAACGGAAATGTAAAGATCAAACATTGAATTGACAATAATAAGGGATTAAAAACAAAAAAATAGAGTGATAGTAGAACAACTGAATGATCACAGTCTTTCCCGAGATTGCACAACAAATAGTATTATTTTGATGGTGTGAAAGAGAAGAGCTATACTAAACAAAAGACGGTAGTTTGTGTTAAAAATGTGTGTTTGAAAAAAATATACCATTAGAAACGTGAATGAAATAAAATATATAAATATATATATATATATATATATATATATATATATATTTAGGCACGAATTAAACAGAGCAACCAAAATGAATAAATGCATTACATACGGGATTATGTTAAAAAAATAAAAAAATTAAAAAAAAAAAACAATGTATTTTAATGTATCTTTCAACTCTGATCGGCAAACGAGAATATTTTCCCAAAATTCGTACGTACGCGTTTAATTCGCGTATCATACGCGAATTTACTAACTAGGCCAACACCATATCCTAAATAAAGGCAACGTGAGAAAAATGCCTCTAATGCTTAAATTTTGGGTAAATATCACCTCCAATACTTTTTTTTTTTGGATATATAAGTGCGTTAAATTTGAAAATATGATCAAAAAATGACTCGAGGTAACATTTAGTTATAAATTTATTCATGTGCATTATATATGACATTTTAAGATATAAAATTTTGAAAATACCCTTTTTGTCTTTCAAAAATGCCCTTACATATGAAGAAAAAAAATGAGGGACACTTTAGCCATTTCACATTTAATCATTTATTTTTATTAAATTATGCATGAATACTTTAGTCTTTTCAACATTCAGATCCTTATTTGCTCAAAAATTGAATATTATGAATTTTTTGAAATGTAAAGGGAGGTTATACACGCTATATACATGGCATCATAGAGATGTTTTTGGCTCACAACCCCTTAAAATAAATAAGATAAAGAATTGCCCATATTAAGGCTTTTGCCAATTATAACCTAACCATAGCAGTAATTCAACTTATAACCAAATCCTCGATCCTTGTTCAAAATTTAAAATTTAAAATTTTCCGAACTTTAATGTACCCTTAATTCAACGCTTTATGAGGTTCGTTTGGCAACAACAGCTGTTTTGTGTTTTTGCTTTGACCCAAAGCAGAAATAATGTTTTTACTTTAGAGTGTGTTCACACTATTTCAAAACTTGTGTTGGTAATGTAAATTTGTTACAAGATTTTTACAACCAAAAATATGAAAGCATGTTTAGTAAAAAGTGTTGCAAGTTTGAAAATTTGAATGGCTAGTCAAAGATGTTATTTTAGAATTTTTTTTTATTATTTTTTTGAACAGTGCTTTGCTACAGTGCAGAAGCAAACAAAAGTATCATTTTGATGCTTCCGATTTTGGCTTCAATTTTGAAAGTACTTCGTTACTATTTAAATGACAACAAATATTATCAAACATGTTTCGTATTTTTATTTCGATATAATACACTAAAAAAAAAAAAACATTAGCCAAATCGACCCCATATTCTAATTTCTTCTAAATGAAACACATAAGGACTTTGAAGAGAAGAAAAAAAAAAAATGCTAACTTACAAGAATCACATAAGAAATAAGCCTCAAAGTAAACTAAAATCTACAAATTAGACATTATCCACACACACACCTAATCTTATATTAGGTCCAAAATTTGTCTAATATATTTATTCATTCATCAATCAAAATCTTATATTCATTAAGGTTTCCTCTTTACCTTATCCATCGAACATTTCTTTTACTATATAATTTTTAAACAATAAATTTTTTATTTTTTATTTTTTATGTATTGTGTTTTTTATAAAAGAAAAAAGGGATAATTACACTTACCTCCCCTAAGGTTAGGCATAATTACATGCAGTACCCTCAACGTTTCAAAAATATCACTTACCTCCCTTCAATGTGATCGTCGATAGGTTATGTTAGAAATCTATGTAAATGTACTAATATACCCCCATTATTATATTAATATTAATAACTTGTTATTAACTTACTCTTTTACCCTAACAACTTTTTTTATTTGGAATTTTATTTTATTTTATTTACTTATTTTTTTCTCATGTTTGGAGCCTAAATTTGGAGAGCCACCATCTTCACCACCAACGTAACGGTCACAGCCACCGCCTTCGCCATTCCTAACTCCACCACAACCACCATCATAGCTCAGGTCCTGGACTTTGTAAGCCGTACAACGTTAAGCACAACATAAGGCAATAATCAGTAGGGATGGCAATGGGGCGGAGTTGGGATGGAGTTGGCTAAACCCTACTCCGCCCTATTAAAAAATTCGTCGTACCAACTCCGCTCCAACTCCGAGACGGGTTTATAATTGGTATACTATCCACGCCCCTACTCCGGTAGACAAAATACCAACTCCGCCCCGCATACTCCGTTTAATTGCGGTAAAGTGGAAACTGTTGAATTAATTCCTGGACTTGGGATAGAATATTAAGATCTTGAACCTTTGAAGATTGAATCACGTGCACAATTGTAGAATTTTAGTAAGCAGTAATTCTAGCGAATATTTAATCAAAATATATTAATAGACACTTAAATTAAATATATATATATATATATATATATATATATATATATATATATATATATATATATATAATTGGGGTCGGGGCGGGGCTGGGGTGGGGGCATCACTAAATCAGCCCCCACCCCAAACCCGCTTCGGGTTTTCTATTCTTTTACCATATCCGTCCCAAACCCATTTATGGAGCTTCCAAATTTGCCCTATTAGGAGCGGAGCGGGGCGAAAACCCAGCGGGTTGGAGGAAATTGCCATCCCTAATAATCAGTCAATCCTCGTAACTAAACTTCAATCTCCAGCTTAAACTTCGCCGGTCTGAGCATGAACATTCGCCCCCTCGACTTCGCCGACATGGGCACGATTGCCGTGATATTCACCAGCGAATATTCGTACCTGGTGAAACTCGTACTCGGATGCAAATCCGAATTTAGAAACCCCAGCGAGTTGGACCAGTCCTCACCGGTGAAGCGATTCGAATTGCCGATCAACCAAGAGCTGCGAGACTTGTTAAACAACGATGATTTGACGACACTGAAGTAGTCGCGCTTTTGGTACTCATTGAGTTTGTCTTGGTCGTCGTTGTAGGGGATGATGTTCCTATAGAAGACGATATTGTTGTCGATTGGGCTGATTACAGAGTTCAGATTGGTGAAGAACTTGAATAGGTCTTGATCTAAGGAGGTTTTTGGATTGTGGTGGTGATCAGAAGGATTTTTTTTTCAAAATCATTCATCGGGAGGTCGCAGAGAGGGAGAGAGGATGTTTTATGCTCCTTCGGAGTCTATGGGTACTAATTCGACCCATATGGCGGTGAGGTCGCCGATGATCGGCTCAATCAGGGGTTGCGCTCGTGCTGGAATTCTAATTTCAAGGAGGAACTCCAGTGAAGGATTATTATGTATGCCTCAGTACCTCCGTCAAGCCATCACTAACGCCATTCAATCAAAGACATCAATGCTAGTGATCACCACTACCCCCTATCACCGCCGCCATAGTGCCTTCCTAAGCTGCTGAGTCTCCATAGTCATGTTCTTTTAACCCTTGAGACACTGTAATAATAAGTTTTAGAGAGAGAAAATGTATACACAGAAGAATCAAATGTGATATTTGAGAGTGTATGAGGGTGGAAATGTCTTTGCAATTATAATAAGGATAAATATGGTACTTCATGTTCAAAATTTGCTGACATCATCAAAAATCTTTATTGACCGGCATTGATGAAGGGGCTAAGTGTTATGACGGTGCAAACTTTGAGAGAGGACGGTGTAATTTTTGAAACATAAAGGGTACCACCTGTAATTACGCCTAACCTCATAGGAGGTAAGTATAATTATACCAAAAAAAAAAAGAAAAAAAAAAGAACTGGACATGAAATTAGAAAGTCCTAAGCAATTGCCTATTTGGTATTTATTTGCCTTCACTTCAGAAGTTAAAACTGACGCCCCACATTCACTTTCAATCTGTTCTTGAAATCAACATACATTTTCAGCTTTTAAATTGTTCCCTTCATTAGCACCTTATTTATTTATCACAAAACAAACGATTAGGCACCTATATATATATATATATATATATATATTGGTTTTGCATACACTGCAAATTAATCACCAACACATTCAACTTAGTAGGAGATGACGAAGCTACCTCAGATCGCCATTCTTGGCGCTGGCACTTTCGTTAGGACCCAATACATTCCCAGATTAGCTGAGATCTCTGACCTCCTTGTTCTCAAATCAATTTGGAGCCGAACCGAGGTACTTTTCTTTCATTTTCTTGGTAAACAAACAGGGGCAAAGAAGAAATTGAAATTTTTGGTAATGGGTTTTATTGTTTATGCATATATGTGTATGTAGGAATCAGCTAGAGGTGCTGTTGAGATCGCTCGTAAATTTTTCCCGGAAGTTGAATGTAAGTGGGGCGACGAGGGTCTTCATGAAATTGTTCAGGATAGTTCCATACTTGGGGTTGCGGTGGTTCTGGCTGGACAAACTCAGGCATGCTCTCTCTCTCTCTCTCTCTCTCTCTCCATATATATCTATCAATCAATTGATATGTGTTGTTTAATACTATGATGATTCTAAACGAATGCATTGCATTGGTACATACTTTCCTGGATATCCAAGTTTTTGTACTAAATCAAGTGTGTGTATAACTGTTTGTGTATGTGTGTGTGTGTGTGTGTGTGTGCTCGTTTCAAAGTGGAAGTAAAGGGTTCGAGTCTGGCAAGAGAATTGTGGAGTTTTTTACCAGGATAAAAAAGAAAAAAAAGAATCATTATTTTCTATACCACTGCTAAAAAATAAATATTAATTCTGTAAGATACTAGATCATGTAAACAATCAGATCAAATATCATGTCAAGTTGTAAAGCTCAAATTGTTGAGCGCCAGTACTCAGATTCAAGTCCAGTACTCAACTCAACAGCTAACATTGCAGTGATTTGTACTCGATTCAGCCATTGGTACTAAATCAGTGAAGTGTGATAAATGATGATTGTAATTTCTAATTTTCAAAAAGTAACCTACATGATTTTCAACTTGTTAAAATGTTTCCAAATTTGTTTTAAAGTGTTTTCTCAGACCAAACTCTGTTTAGAACACTTATTCTCATTCAGTATTGATAAGAGGTGTATGAGACGCACAAATGAGATACCATTTGCAAAAAGAAGAGTTTTTGTGATAGGTGAGGATTAGGATATTGTTGTGATTTTTGAAAGCTCCTTTCAATCCGAAAACTCCTATGAAATCTTCTTCCTCCAAATAATCTACCTTTGTTTAACTGTTCCTATTGTGGTAAAAAGGACATTCTCAGTTTACTGTTACCAAAGAAAAAGAGATCCTTAAAGAAAAAACACATCCTTTTATATTTCTAGGAAATTTTGGAAAGATGTTATACATGAAAACAATTTTGGTTAGGAAATCTTTTTTTCAATTACAATTATTATTATTATTATCATTATTATTATTATTATTATTATTATTATTATTTTTAAAGAAGCAAAAAGATAAGTAAATTTTGTACTTTTGGACTCATTCCTCCACACAATTTTCGTAAAAACTAGTGCTTGAGCTGACAGAATCTGATGTCTATCCACCAGAATTATGTGGATGGTTGAACAAGACTCCCATGGTTCTTTTTTTCTGGTTTCATTTTATCAATTGTCCATTTGAGAATGCCTTTGGATGTGCCAAGAGACAGATAGCTATTACATATGCTGATTTTTTAAGTCCTCAGATTTAACTATAATTTTGCATATGAGTATCATGGGGTGGACCTTGATTTTGTTACATAAGAAATGCATAACTTTGAACAAGGGAAAAAGAAAAGAAATGGTTATAGATTTATCATTGCTTTGCATTTAGCTCATTTTAAACGACATTCCCAGCAAACCCTGTTAGCATTTCCCTATTCTTCATTATTTTGAAATGAGTAATTGCTTTAACATGTTATGATCATGAGTTTGACATTTTCTCTTACGTCAGCACATATGAACCAATTTATGCAGGTAGATGTCGCACTGAGGCTGCTGAAGGCAGGCAAGCATGTCCTTCAAGGTGATTTGAATTCTGAATAACTATCACTGAAGGTTCTAGATCTTTGTTTTTCTAAAGAATGCAAAGTTCTACTGTGAGCTTTGATTGAGTTGGATGCTCCTTTGAGCAAGATAAGGATGCCTGTAGCAGTTGTGCCTTGCATTAAATAGATAATTAATCATTTCAAATTTTTGTTCATGTGCTATTAGTTGTATATAGCAGATCTTACCCTTTGCATAATGTTTCCTTTGCAATGAACTAACACTTGCTGTTGGACATGCCTTATGTATTGCTTGGCTGACATGGTGGATCTGAAGAGAAACCGGCAGCAGCTTGTAAGTAGTATAAAGTTTGAAATTGAATTAAATCTTTATATATGGTGCCTCACTTGTTACATATATATATATTTCTTGAGAATTTTATCTGTTCCCCTGCATTACTTGTTGCGGCTTTCATGCATTTAACTATTATAGCGTGGAAGCAACTTTACCTGTTGAAGATCATCCCAAATCTAGAACATTAAGGAGTTGGTTAATGTTCTTGATAAGGCATCTCTTGTATTATATTAATTCTATTGATAAAATTCCTTTGGAGAATGAATAGAGGCACAGTTAGAAAATAAAGAAGTATTAAAGTACGGTAAAATGTTCTGTTGGTCCAGCCAAAAGTATAAAAAAAAATGGAAAAGCAAAGCTTGGTGTGAAACTAGAAATATGAGTACAAAAAAAATACTCACCCCATCAGAAATCTAATGAGGGAACTCATAGTTTTTGTTACAGAATGAAAAAAGAAGCTGAACGAATTATGTGTTTTTCCACTCCTTTGAAAACATGTCAGAGTTCTCTTACCTCAAAGTGGAAAAGCAATGGATTTGAAAAAACTTCTGACTCTCCAGAAATGCGCCAATCAGTTTATTCCAATTGTTGTATGCCACAGCCCAACTTCCTCCAATTTTGCTTCATTTTTAATGTTCCTAGCTTGAAGAAAATCAAAAAGTAATTTACTCTTGATTGAGTGCCAAATTTTATTCAAAAGATGGGTGCAAAGGCTCCCCTTGTTCCGTTGAGGATGGGGTGATTAATTGCTTAAGAGTCATTCTTGCGTGCGCGCACACGCATAAAGTTATTATGTATTATGAATTCGTACAAAAAAGCTCGTCTATTGTTAGAATGCTCTTCTGAGGCTGGCATCCACATATTGAGCAATCATTTCTAGTTCCCTCCAAGACCTTCCTAAAATGATTTAACATAGAACTAGAGGTGGCCTGATTTGCTGAGTTCTAATCTGTTAATCAGAGGTATCTGAATTTGAATTGCAATTAAAAATCGACATGAAAGAGTGGTCTATTATGTCTTCTTGATTCTTGATTATTTGAATGGAGATAAAAACCACTGGACTTTAACCTTCAAAGTCAGTATATCATCCTAAATTATGGCATCTTTATTCAATGCAATCAGGAATAAATCAGGAAAGCCTGAACAAAGAATTTCAAAACAAGTATCTTTCCAGAAATTTGACATCTGACCATTTCCAGTTGAAAATTTATCCCACTTCATATATGTAAAAGCAATAAGATTTGGAACTTCAATGTTGTTGATTAGTGTCTATTTGGCTTTCTTCTGGTGGTGTTCTTTTTCTTTGCTACCTCGATGTCTTTTTGTTGCCTTTTTACTCCCATTATTTTTATTAGAAAAAATGTGAAATGTGTTTCATTCATTGGAGAGAGGTTGATTTTGTGGGGGGGGGGGGGGGAGGTGGTCGGGGCCGGGGCGTGGGTTGGTGGTGGGGGGTTGGGGGGACAATTATTCTTAATCAGATACACTGCAACATAATTAAGAGATGCCAGGTCCAATGCACCTCTATGATGGTGACTTTTTGGTATTAGCTAATTATGTATCCTAATCTGTTCTTAAATCACTAATCAGCACTAACCAGAAGCCCCACTTGCACCTAATAAAATAGAAGATCTATAAGTTAAAGTCTTGCAAGTGATTCGGGCTACAATTCCAATTGTACTTTAAATGGTACATAATGCTCAATAATCCATGTCAAAATGTCAATTAAACACTAAACATTCTTTTTTCAAAAATTAGCCTTGGCATATATGATTTGTGACAAAAACACATCACAGAGCAGGACATGGTCATTGCTCATAGAGTAATCTGTGGATTTCACAAACAAAAATTTGGACAATCCCATTGTATTTTAATTCTTATGCTTATACCTTTTCCTTTTCTTTTCTTTTTTTAATTGATAACTTAAAGTACACCTTAACATTTTAAAGTATTAATTGAATTGGGAAATAGTATCTAACAACACATTTCAACAATGCCTTTCCCCAATTATTTGGGTTGTATATATATTCGTTTTTGGATAAGATATGTTTTGTAATTATATATGTTGTGCCATAAAATTTCATTTCTTACGAAAATGATCAGTTGTCAAGTTATGCAGCCAATATTGAGGCAGAAACTGCATTGTCAAGCTATAATTCTATTTGCGCCAAGATTCCTGGTCAACCAATATGGGCTGTTGCAGAAAATTATCGGTTTGAACCTGCTTTTGTCGAGGTACCTCTTGCTTCATAGTTCCCCCCTCCCTCACCATGGCTCGTTAAATAATTATTATTCTTTTTACAGGGCAAAAAACTAGTGGCTGGCATTGGGGATATGATAAGCGTCCAAGTAATTGTTGAAGGATCAATGAACAGTTCAAATCCTTACTTCTCAAGCTCTTGGAGGCGCAATTTTACTGTATGTGTTCCATAGTAAAACTGATTACTGTAGATTGTTTTCTCTGAACTGCAAGAGGCACAACATGAAGAACGTGCCTTGTTTCAATCTGATTAAAAGTGACTTCTTGATGTTATAGTTAATACATATATTGTCCTGGCTTAAATTATGTTGATGCATGTATTCTCACATTGCAACCTAGTATGCCAAATGTTGGTAAGAAAGACGCATCTTTTAGCGTGCTGCCTTTATGATTATCCACATTTTATTAAGCCAAAAACAAGAGGTAAAAGTGCTACTATGGCATCTGAAATGGAAGGGTGAATTCAGGGTTGATTATCATATCTTTGTAACATGTAGCAAGTCTAAATATGCTTTCTTAAGTTCTCAATTTTCAAGGATTTCTTCCTTTCTCTCTCTCTCTCTCTTTCTTTTCTTTTTTTCAATTGATTGTTAATATAACCATTAATTTTCAGACAATCCAACTTGAAGTAAGCCATTTGTATAGTACTGTAGTCTTATGATGACATGCCTATTTATTTCTGTGTTTTCAATTTTGGCAGGGAGGTTTCGTTCTAGATATGGGGGTACATTTCATTGCAGGGTTGAGGATGGTAAGTGTTCTTATGAAATTCATTGCGGTTTTGGTAATTTTCTCTACTTGTTAAAAAGAATGTGCTGCCAAGTAGTGAACCACAGGCTTTGTTAGCTGAATTTCACATAGCATTTAATATCATAATGGCATTTGATGAACTTGTGTATCACATGATTTTTGTAGAATAGATTTATTTCATGTTTTTGTTTTGGTGTGTGCATCCAAGCGCATTGCGTTAAATTTTTTCAAATTATTAAGCTACCCTAACAACCCCCTTCCATGCATCAAACAAATGTTTTGACATCTAGGAACAAGAAGATTTTATGGGAAATGTTGACAAATTCTCGTGGAGTCCAAAGAAATGAAATTAAAAGGGGCAGTTGTTCCAATTTGATCTCTATTGAATTTTAATATCAAAAACTAATGGTGAGTGGTGGGATATCACCTTATCCTAAAGCCTGGTAACCTGGTTGATTGGCACTTCCGTGGGCTCATTCAATGACGTTTATTATGTTGTTCTGTCTTCCAGCTGAAATTATGATAAAGATAGTAATCGGAAAGAGAAGAAGGCTGATCTTTCATATCAGCGAACTGAGATTCCAAAGCTTTTTCTATTGAGTTGGTAGATAAACCCAAAAAGCAGAAAATCAAATAAGATTTAGTACAATCTTGGTCCAAATCAAGGATCCGTGTGTTATAAGTAGCACAGAGTTCAATTAGATTTAGATACATTCAACTTATGAAGTAGGAATCGCAAAGTCCTCCATTTTTAACTTTCCCTATCAAATAATGCAAAAGGATTAGACAAAATTTATTATGGTTTAGGTCAATGAGTTAACAAATATAAACAAAATAAAGGATCTATGTCCATACTTGAATTTTCCTGTCATCCTTTCCTGATGTTTCAAATTACTTAAAAGTGAGATCGAATCTAATATGTTTGTTGTCACACCTTTATTCAAGACAAATATGAAGTGTCATTAGGTACTTCATGTTTGCTGACATGATTTTGCTATTCACTTGACAGCAGCCCCTTGGAACACAAAACTTGTTAGTCTCAGCTTAACAGAGCCCTCTTACAAATTAATTTCGGGCGGATTTTAAATATTAATAGACCATATGATTTGTTGCAGCATACATGTTTTGGCTGTAACTCAGATCCTAACATAATTTTTTCTGTTGATGTGAACAGCTTGTTGGGTGTGAAGTCGCCTCAGTATCAGCTCTGTCTTCTCATGTAGATTTGACTTTGCCTCCACCAGATAACATCTCCTCTACATTGTAAGTTTATAAGGATGGAGTGAATTTTATGAACAATTCTTTACTGAAGATTGACGTGAGAATTTGGACTTCTGTTTGTCTCTTTAGTCAACTTGAGAATGGATGTTCTGGAGTTTTCGTATTGGTGGTATCCACAAGATCGCCCAAGGTATGTGTGGTGAAATGATAAAATATACTTAATAGCTTCAATATGGCACCTATGTTACATGAACCCTTCAACAATGTGTGTAGTATGCATGTCCGACTCATGGCACATGTATATGGTTGGTCATCAAGTATGTCCAATACATACAACTATAAATAAAACTCTTTTATTATCAACTAGGAAAGAAAAAAAAAAAAAAAAACTCTTTTATTATATTTCTTTTGCTTTATTTACTCAAAAAATAGAAGAAAAAAAATCAAATAAAATAGATATTTACCCCATGCCCTTGGGGATGGGAATTTTTAAAACCCGACATTAACACATGCACCTAACGCACATACCCAAGTCCATGTAACATAGTATCCTTCTATACTTGCTAATATTGTTAGTACCTATAGGTATTATGGCGAGTTGTTGGCTTAAACGGAACACTGCAAATTGAGCGAGGAAACAAAGACGGGAAACATGGGTACTCGGTAAACTGAAAATCAGCTCTCGAATTCCTGCAAGAGGAATTCATATGTCAATTTTGATAGTCTCTAATTTAATTTGCTTAAGAAATTAGTACCATGAGGATTGAAGGTTCGTTCCGTTCTAATTGTGAGAAATAATAACTTATGGATATCTTACAATTCTATCACAGGTTTTCCTTTATACTGCTGACGGCGAAAGCAAGAGTTTCTTCTACCCATTCAGTGGGGTGGACGAAGAGTTAAAATCTTTCATACATGACATTTCACAGGCCAATGTTAAGGTAATTTAAGATGACGAAGCTGCTATAAATATATACATGCATTTACTTCATTGTTTTTCCTCTTCCAACATATGCAAGTACTAAATTTTTTAAGAGTTGGTTTTAACGTCTTTCTATTCTATGAAACATTGATATATTCTTATATTACAAATTGGCCCTGTTGAAACAAAACAAGGTAATTCATTTTCTGATTTTTATTCCCTAACCCACCTCAACCTTCTAGATAATAGCTTCTCCAGGAACTCTTAGTTTTATCTAGCTTAACACCATTATCTCGTATTCGTTTTGCAAATACCTCATTTCACTGCATCATTTCTCGTTTATCTGGCCATCTCATAATCAAACAACTAAATTTGGTTTATGTAGTTGCTCTAATATCCTTTCCAAATTTATTGGAACAGCTGAAACCTAAATTTTCCGGAGAAATTTAACACTTGAAGCTCTGATTGTTGCTAATATTTTTTGTGCTGTAACTTATACTAGTAAGCAAATCCTCTTTGTTGCAGGAGGATAGTGGCTACAGAGCTGAACCTCGCATGTCTTTTGCTGAAGGTGCCCGTGATGTGGCTGTTTTAGAGGCGATGCTTGAATCAGGAAGCAGGCAAGGAGCCTTTGTCCAAGTTAAAAAATTTTAGGTTCATGTTAGGTTTCATCCTCCGGAACTACTTTATTGCATCTGTTAATATGATTTATATGCTTTGGGATCTTCGATTTTCAAGCTTAATGATAATTTGTATGAAATTAAAAGCACCTAGATATGCAAAGCATTTGCCAAGGGAGGTAGCTTCCTTTATTTTGTTGATTCGAAATGGTTAATAGATGAAGTGAGTTGTGGTGAATGTCACACCAAATGTTGCAGATTCTTCCAAATGCGGATTCTATAAATAAAATTAAAATTTGAAATTGTCTGTGTGCTACTTCGAAATTAAAACTTTGTTTTCTGAATGGAAGCTGTGTGTTAGCGCACAAAAGTTTTTTCACCCCCGAAGGAAAACTTGAAAGAGTATGGGATTGCCTATAACTAACCGTCCAGCTTTGTCTTGTAACACCGGATCACCCACCTGCCCTTATATGCACAAATCCTTTCCCATCCAAATTCGATGTGGAAGATGGAACAAGAACCTCCCGAATAAGGGTTTGGCGTTACACCGAATCAAGGGCTTGCCCTCTAACCTACCTATCCTTGTATGCTCGAGTCTTTGGTCATTCAGATCCAATGTGGGAAAAGAGTTTCACGTGACACCAAATCAGGAATTGGATCTAACTTTGACAGTTGACACCACTTGTAAATTAAAAAACTTAAAGACATTCTTGCCTTAAAATGTCCAAGCGTTATCCCATCCTAATAGTAGACATGAACCTCTCTAAAACTGTGGTAAACATGTTTGTACGGTAAGGAAAGTTGGAGGTATGAAATTTACTGAATTGGGAGTATATTCGTACAAAGTAGGATAAAAGAGGCAGAAAATAGGATAAAAGGGGCAGAAAAAAGTTGATTTTGTTGAATTTTGAACTAAATTTCTTCTAATTTTAACAAATTAGAAAACAAAATATAATAAACCTTACACGATTGACATTATAACTTAAGCAGCACAGAGAGAAGAAAGTCAACACTATTAGCCACAATAATAAATGCAAGAAGTGAAAAAGAAAAAACGGACAAAAAAAAAAAAAAGAAAAAAAAAGTGCTAACTGCTAACAGGAGGATTTCATCATTGGGTCAAGAAAGTTTCCATATCTGGTGCTTTTGGAGGAACGGTCGATTTGATCAACTGTCATTCCATTCACTAGTCCAATCAACTTATTGTCCCATAACTTGCACCAAAAAACAGATTAGTTTTACAGCTGGATAAAATTTTTCGGAACATTGTCTTAGGTTCACATTTTATTTTATTTTTTTTCCGAACACCCATAAAAACAAAGTTGGTGTTTCGAGTTACGAAAAAAAAAATCTGCACATAGCATGCCTCCTTCAATTTCTGTTCATTTCCTGCATAATAAGTAAATGTTTTAGGGTTTATCAATTAAATTAACACATCATTTCCTATACTTAAGATTGCACAAGGACGATGACAATAGTTTGATTATCTTCATACAGAGAGAGAGAGAACATATATGCTATAATGTAAATACTCCACAATACTTTTTTCTTGAAATTTCTCGCAAATCCAAAATTTCATATATCGTCACTATGGTATGGCAGTCACGGTATATACCTGTTCGTATAGAATGATAAGATATAAAATGTTTAGCAATGTGCATGGTACATGAGAGAGCATAGAAGCAGCAAAATGAAACGAGAGACCGTCAGGAAATCAGTGAATTGTTGTCACTCCACCAAAAGCTAACAGAAAAACTTGTGGTGAGGGATCGAACGTAGTGCCACCATTTTGGAGGGATATAAAGCATTTCGCCCTCCTGTAGAATGCAATCCAGAAATTCCAGATCCTGCACCTCCGGGAACTCTTTCTCATCTATCTTGTCCAAATTAACCTTCAACAAGATTCTCACTGAATCAATACAGAGAATTATGAAGTACCCTAAACATTTTTTAGTATTATAATTGACAATGTTACGTACAAGAAGGGAAGAGCTTTAAGGATGGGATGCTCAACGCTCAACAATAATAAGGGAATGACTCGAAAGGGTGAATGGGAAAATATAAATTAACAAAACAAAGTCTACAACGTTAAGAACTCCATCACCCGAGAGAGAGAGAGAGAGAGAGAGAGAGAGAGATTAAAACAGTAGCAGAATAACTGAACAGTAGTCCAACTTTTCTTGAATGGCTACATGAATTCAACCTATCTCAGGCCACATTTTCTTCCCCTCAAGATAAAAGGCCATAACATCTTTTCTTTTCCTTTTCTTCTTTTTGTTTCCTTTATCAGTGATGAGGGTATCCTTACCTTTGGATGGGCCTAATCCACCCGGTGCATGTGTATGACTCTAAGCACGTGTACCAGGTTAATGTAGAAAAAACCCACGAGGCTGTTCCCAATGGGGAAAGTCAATCAAGTCAACTTTATGAGACTACCCATTGGGATTTTTTGGCATTTTTCCTTGTTGCAGATTCAGCTTCAATCAAATCAATCCATACTAGTGCATTAATTGGGTTTAGATGGACACAAATAGTAGTAGTATGACATTCCTTCATTTCATATCAATTGATACCATCTATTGCTTCTCACAAATGCATTTATTTCTTATTTATAAGCCCACTCATTTATCTTTTTGATCCCATTTCAACCAAACTCATGTTTTACTTCTTTCTCAACTATCAATCACTCCATACCCTGAACAACTACTCACTTTAGAAGCGTCTTGTGAACAAATTTATAATGTTTTAATTGCATTGCATGATCATGTAACGCGCTCCAAGACCATTGTATATCTTGTTCGTCTTCGACCATCCTTTATGTCTATCATATGATCCAAGAACTATTTTTATCTAATACAGAGTTGGACTAATTCTCCTGATATAGTAACAACAATTATAGCAGCTATAAATTTTCATTAAAATAACATAAACTTCATAGGGATAATTTACTCAATCTAGGGGGGATACCTGACTGGAATTGCTAAGCATGGATTCAGCGTGTGGGTAAAGTTCCTCTGACAATGAAGCAGGGTAAAGCCTAATGTACTTTTTGCCAACAACCTGAAAATGATAAGATGGAGGGTTATTCACAATAAAATATGTGTAAATGCAATGTCATTGCAACGCTAAACAGTAAACAATATGATAGAGGGAATAGGCTAGGAGAGGGAGCCAATGCGTCAAGATTTTGGCGCGTTAATTTTTTTTTTTTTAGGTAGACAAGGTCTCACCAGCTTTGGAAGAATGCATCCTATACAATTAGCTTGTGAAAGAACAGAGATGGAAGTTGAGCTATTTTTCAAGTCATGTGATTATTCTTTAAATTTCCTTTTGTTTTTCAATGGAAAAGCCAATCTGGTAATGAGTGCCAGATGCAACACATACACACATGAAGTATGCAAAGACCCTTAAAGGCAATCATTCAAAAGCCAACTCATCCAAAATCTCAAAAACAGACATGCGGGCGGGGGGGAGGGCCATGGAGCATGCCACTTAAATTTCCTCCCACACATCCCTTCAAGTACCTTGGGATACGCCACACAGACAATAAATAGCAGGGGCTCATCCTCTCTCCACAAATAACAACAATACAGACCACAACTTCGACTGCTGCCAGACTCTCTCACCCCAAAACCTAAAAAAAAAAAATAACAATAATAAATCGAGAACCACTGTCCGAGCAAGAAAATACAGTTTTCGAGACAACCAAGGAGCATCAGATTCCTTCTTCAGGAACCAGTTACCCTCTTTACCTTCAAATAAACAAACAGAAGAACTTCACAGAGAACTCCCATCTCTGTTGTTCTTCCATCACGCATCAGCTACTTTCACCCATTAATTCATAAAGCAAATAAGAAAGCACTGTAGAGCACTAAGTTCCTTTCTCAAAACCAATTACTTTTTATCACCTTCTGATAAGCTAGATAGGATTGTTAAGACAACCTTCCATCCTTGACTTTCTTCCATTGCATGGTATAAGTTCCCTATAAACCATAAAGCCGGTCAAAAGAGAGAGCATCAACTATTTCCAACTCACAGTCCTGTATAGCTATATCAAATCTTGGACCCAAATGCTTCGCACTCCATGCCCTATACAAACTGTCTGCAACAATCTTTGTAGCAAGAACCTAGGAATAACCACCATGGAGCCATATCCGCTCAATAACCGGTTCTGTGCAGCAATAGTTGGTTAACCCCCAATCTAGCCTGAAAATTTATAGATGTTCAAATTTCATGCTATGTAAAACTGCTGCTTATATTAGCAAAAAAACAAGGAGAATGACCAAGATGTGGTATCTGAAGAAAGTAATTAAATTAGCATAGTTCATCCAACTAGGATTACTCAGGGAAAGGACTTATCGAACAGTTAACTGCAGTAGAAGCATAAATTCTAGACTCCACACCATTCACATAGCAATGAAAACTGGAATGGGCTCAACTTGTCATGCCCCGGGCTCCAAAACCCGGTCCATAATGTAAGAACAAGGATATCACAAAATAATAATAATAATAATAATAATAAATAAAATAACAAATTAAATCTATCACCATTATTATATTCGTTTATTTTATTTATATAGTTTAACTAAGAATTAAATTCTCTTTTATTTTTAACCTGCCACTACCAGCCAATCTTAATATACCTGCAAATAAAGTTAGGGTGTATAATCAACTCAGGCTTATATACATGATCAAAGCCAAAGCTTAACAGAGTTTAAAGCGCATAGATATCCCATAAGGTCATTGACATTGACCTGGTAACACCCCTAGCATATAGGCATCAACATACAAAATGGATATATATATATATATATATATATATCCTGTACCTAGCACTTGGACCATTGACTAATCAATGACCAAGAAAACACAGCACCATCCTCCTGTCATTTATTTACTACATATATATTTATATAACGATTCTTCATGTCACTTGCCCAAAAGGGAGACCATCTTTTCATTAGTTTACTATGCAATACTTCCAGAGCAATCATTTTTTTTAATTCAAAGGAAACAATTTTATATTGACACTAACTTAATTTTATTCATCTCATAAAAATAAATCCAAATAAAATAAATATAATTCCAAATTTATCAAGTACTCAAACATTGATCCAATTAATCATCTAGCAAGTACCAATTGAAATAATAAAATTAGTCATATCACAATCCAAACTAAATAAGCTAGATAAAATTGTAAGCTATTACACGTCCGAACTAGAAATAATAATTCCAAATCCATGTCAACATCCAAATAATCAAACTATTATAAATTCTCCAAGCCAAGCAACATTAAGTAAATTTTTCCAAGCATGATAAATATTTCCAGTACCGTTTCCTTCATCTGAAAATTTGTTTAATGGGGGGGAGCAAAACCCAATAGAAAATACACTAACAAGAATAACCAATAGTATATGAGATTCCATAACCAAGCAAAACTTTGATGAAAGCATGAACATAAAAATAATAGTAATAATCATATAAACTTTTTAATCAATTTCATCCCAAATATTTATCACGTCTCAATCAAATAAATTCCAGGCATTGTCCGTAATTCCGTGCACTTAACATCGCAAGTCACGTAACACCTACTCGGTTCACCGGCTACTAACCCGTTGGGTACGAGCATCACTTGGCCAATTCTAAGGTTTTTCACCTAAGGGCACCGAGCCCTATCTTGCTTTTCCGGTACAACCCCGTTAACTAATCAATTAACACTTAAACCAAATTCCACACCTTTACTATGTGTGTCAAAATATAATCACTCAATGAAGTATTTTATCAACACCTTGAATGCATTAATTCTCAAATAAATCAAAATCAGAATTTAAAACGCCAACTTATGCAACAATGTATATTCATGTTGTATAGCAACTAACAATGTATTCTCAATTAATACTCAAATTAAAACACAAAATAATTTCACTTATAAATAATAGTTAAATTCGTATATAGAACATGATACTCAACAAAATCACAAAGAAGAACAAATCACATAATTAAGGGTTATTAAGGTTAGTATACCCCTACCTTAATCAAAGAAAAGCAAAACCTTAGATGATCAATAACCACGAATCGCTACTCCAATGGTATGAAACTGTAGAGTACGATGAATGAATAAATTTTTGTTCTTGAAAAATCCCAATGCCCTATCCTCGGTATCAGGAAGAAGATTGAAAGAGAAGAAGAGGCTAGGGTTTCTCTCTTCTTCTTTTTTCTTTTGACATTTCTATTATTATTAATATATATATATATATATTTGCTTTCCCGTACTTTATGTGGTCCACTCACGTTTCTGATGCCCTATGCATAACCACATACCTTCACCCACTAGGCACGTGACCTTAACTAACCATATACTACATAATTACATCGATGCGAATGTCGAGGTACAACATTACTTAGATATAATTGCTTTTAATTATTTTGTTTTCTTTTTACCATAACACTCAGTCACCCACAGAATATCAAAACAACACGTTTTCCTATATAAATCATACTAACCATCTTACTCTCCTTGTTTCACGTATATATATAAAGGAAGCTGTGTATATATATATATATTTAAAGCAAAGGAACATCATATATATATATATATATATATGATGTTCCTTTGCTTTAAATATATATATATATACACAGCTTCCTTTATATATACATCTCTTTTCCTTTATTGCTTCCCTAACCCAGTATTTTTCTTTAATTACACTCTCAACTACCACAAATTATTATCACCTAAATACACCCAATATTATATAACAACACTATTAATTACAATAATAATATCGATGATAAAATTAAAAAAGCAAATAATAGTAATAAAATCAAATAAACAAATAATGGTAATGATATTCATATTTTTATATTTACGGGTCTTTACATCCTCCCCACCTAAAAAAAAAAAAATTTCATCCTCGAAATTTAAAACATACCTTTATTGGCAAACAAGTCAGGATACTTGGATCGGACCTCCATCTCACATTCCCACGTAGCCTCCTCTACTCCGTTGTGTCTCCATAGTACTTTGACCAAGGGATTGGTCTTGTCTCGAAGTACTTTCTCCCTAGAGTCCAAAATCTCCATCGGTCGCTCCTCATATGACACATCTTTCTCAATCTCAAGGTCCTTCCAATTAACCACATGTGAAGGATCCGGTTCATACTTTCTTAGCATGGACACATGAAAAACATTGTGTACATCGGAAAACCGTGGTGGTAGTGCCAAACGGTAAGCTACCTCTCCAACTCTCTCCAAAATCTCAAATGGTACAATAAACCGTGGAGATAGCTTCCCACTGAGACGAAATTGCAACCACCCCTTGCATGGAGCAACTTTGAGAAACGCATGATCCCCCATTTCAAATGGCAAAAGTCACTGTCTCCGGTCGGCATAGCTCTTTTGTCGACTCTAAGCTATGACTAATTGTTGCCGTATCATTCAGATTTTCTCTGTGGTCTCTCGGACTAAATTAGGACCTAAGGTAGTTGCATCCCCTACTTCAGCCTAACAAATAGGTGACCTACATGGCCTACCATACAATGTCTCAAATGGTGCCATCCCAATACTAGATTGATAACTATTGTTATAGATAAACTCCACCAATGGAAGATGATCCTCCTAACTACCACGAAAATCCAAGATACAAGCATGTAACATATCCTCTAAAATCTGAATAGTCCTCTCTGACTGCCCATCAGTCTGAGGATGATAAGCCGTGCTAAATTTCAATTAAGTTTCAATAGCTTCATGAAGACCTTGCCAATATCGGGCTGTAAATCGAGTATCCCGATTTGATATAATAGACACCAGAGTACCCATGTAGTTTCACTATTTCTTTGATATATAAATTTCCTAGGGTCTTTCCACTATTTGTGGTCCGAATAGGTAGGAAATGTGCCGACTTGGTTAGTCTGTCAACCACAACCCAAATAACATCATGCCCTTGTTGCGATCTTGGTAGCCCCGTCGCAAAGTCCATAGTAACAAGTTCCCATTGCCACTCTGCCACTGGCAATGGCTGCAACAACCCTACAGGCCTCTGATGCTCTGCACAAGTAAGG